AAAAGAAACATGTTTTGCTAGGAGATCCTGGCAGCGCAGAATGCAAGCACAAAGCCCTTGTTCCTCTACTTTGCGCAGCAGCTTCTCCACATCCCCTTGCAGCTCCCCTCGGATCCAAAGCACGCGGAAGCTTGCCGACACGTGCGCGGTGGCAGCGCTGAGGTGAACCGAACGGTGCTATGTGCTATGGCGTCGAGGCTCGATGAGTTCATGGGGGAGATGGTCGCCCTTCTCAAGGGGGCGGGCATGTATGAGAACTCGCTCATCTGGGCCTTCTCTGACAACGGAGGCATGACTCAGTGGAGCGATATGTTCCCAGCCTCCGCCAGTTCAAACTTCCCGCTTCGTGGTGGCAAGACCACCCTCTTCGAGGGCGGTGTCCGCACTCCCTCCTTCCTCTTCGGCGGCGCTTTGCCTGCAACAGCCCGTGGCAGCAAGCGGCGCGAGCTGCTCCATGCAGTTGACATACTGCCCACCTTTGCGGGGCTGGCGGGCTTCGACACCACCAGCCTGCCGATCAATGGGCAAGACATGTGGGGCACGATCACCGGGTCCCAGGTGACAGCACGCAGCGAGCTGCCGCTGAATATCGCCATGAACCGAGATCTCAGCGCCACCGCCATCCCGGCGTTTGGCAGGGGATGGTCTGAGGCCAACTACACTGCCGTGATCCAGTGGCCCTACAAGCTGATCCTTGGAGAGCCCTTCATCGCCAACCTCATGGGCCTGCCCTCTGATAAAGACCGAGGAGGCTGGTGGGGGGTCGAGGAGTACTCCTACACGCCCCCTCCGGATTCAGAGAAGAAGCTCGGTGCATGGCTCTACAACATTGATCAGGACTTCCATTGGCTGCGACGAAGTTGTTCTGTTCTATATGTTCCCTTGCTGGTTTGAAAGGGAGTCGATTTCACCTCTGGACATAGTTGCTGATAAAAAAAGGGGGACTTCTCGGGCTTATTGCACATGATCCCCACCCCCTCAAAAATGGAATTGGGGGAGGGGGGATTTCGACCCCTGGAGATCTCCATTTGTGGTTCCATTTTCCCTTTTATGGGGAAGACTAGATACATGGAATTGGGGACCCCCCCCCACCCCCCTCCCGTTTAAGGTAGGGGGGATAGCAAATGGAAGGACGAAGGGGAGCACAACAATCTCGCTGAGCAGCTGCCGGAGGTTGTGGCAAATATCACGCAGCGCGTGACCGGCTGGTGGTTTTCAAATTCCAAGAGCGGCTATCGAAGGCCCCAACTGAACATTCCTAGGCTTTTGTCGAACCCCATGCTGCAAAACTGGACCTGGGGTCCCTTTGCACATCTTGGGCACTCTGCCGACGGCTCGACTGACGCCTCGACCGACTCATCAGTTTCTTTATTGGTTTGAGTTTGGCCTAGCGCAGGTCAACTGAGCGCTAGGCTCGTTGGATTTGCCAGGCTTGCTTTGCGCTGGCCTTGCTAGCATTCCCGTTGCCCCTGCTTACTTCCATGATTCTGGCGCTGCTGTTCTGCCATTTCATGTGGGGTGAGCGACGCATGACTGATGCTTGCGACCAGGAAAAAAGACGATTACATTATGTCGGCCTTGTGAGCGTGTGCATGCAACATGGGAGCAAGCCCAGATCGTGGCGCAATGGGTTGTGAGCATGTGCCCTGCCTCACACAAGGACATCTGCAGCCGGTTGCAGTTGCCTACACAGGACGCCGACTGCTTCCTTCCCATCAATGGAAAGGAACGCTTTTTGAGTTGCAAAGTTACATAAAATTACCTACGCGGGATGTAAAGTGCATCCTGCTATTGGATCAAGTATGCAAGAATCCACTTCTGGGCAACATGACTGTGACTGCATGCTAGGAACAGGGTGCAAGTGGCCCTTTGTCATTTCGTAGCTTGTTTAGATCCTTCCTGTACAGCAAAAGCTGTGCCTTCACAGGAGCTGTGCCAATCTCTTCCTGGCACACGTTCGCTCCAGGCTGGTGAGCATTTGATTTTAGCAAGGGGACAGGCAACAAGAAGATCATAGGTCATGGACCCCCAATGAGACCAAATGGGGTGGTTCCTGGATAAGCCTATGAGAGGCCAACAATAAGCCCCAAAAGGCCTTAAGGGTTGAGTCCTGTCTCCAGGTCCAGGACCAGGCGATTGTTTCACTTCTGCAAGAAGTAGTCGGCACTTCTGATTTCCGGTCGCCGCACTGGGAGACCCGACAACTTGAGCAATGAGTCATGACGTCATGGGCATGCAAACGGGTGTGTCTCAAAACTATGGCACCCCCCAAAATGTGTTTTTGCTGTAGACCAACCCCTGAAACGGGGAACCAACGGGTGGTTTTCCCGTTGGTTTCGCATTATGCCAACCCCAAAAACGGCCACCCTTCGCCTAGGTCCAGTTCTTTGTCGCTGATCTCTCGCCTCCGTCGACGTGGGCAGCCGGAATTTTTCGGGTTCTTCGAACCCGATAGGCCCAATCCGACCTTTTCTTTGGAACATGTTTAAGGGATGTTAGGACTGAATAGTTCTTTTTGGCCAACTCAGGGGTTTTCAGTTTTTTTTGTTTTTTTTTGCCAACTCATGGGTTTTCCATTAAACCGCGAAAAGTCGAACTTTTAGCAGGGGAGCAGAACGCAACCCCTTTGATCACCGAAATGATGTGACCAACTTGGGCAAGTGAGAAAATGAAGGACCTTCAAGATGAGAACCCAAATCAAGCAAACCCCCTTGGCCGACATTGTTTTAAACTCGGGGATCCATTTTAGTTGGTTTCAAACAAAAGACACCCTGATTTGTGGGTTTTCCTTGAGAACAGTCCAAGTCGCACATATGTTCTAGCTTCATAGCTTACAAAGCTCAGTGCCGGGCGATTTTTGCACAAGTGCTGCACTTGTGCCATGCGATTTAAAGAGCTGATGTGGGGGCTGGGGATTGACAAGCTCCCCCTCGGCTCCCTGAAAGTTGTTCTACCTTAGGCAGAGTGATCTCTCAAAGGATGTAACAACAGAACCTTCGCCAATGCTACCCCTCAGCTGGCAAAGCTTGCGTGAAATGCACACTGCGCCAACGTGTGCAGTCATGCAGAGGCGGCGGAAAGGCGGGGCCACTGTGCTTCCCAAGGGCATGTTGGAAGTGACATTCGAGCACACATGCAAGTGAGAAGGGAACCGGAGGCTGCTGCTGATTTGCCACTTAGGACCCTGGTTGAATTCGCCATGTGCTGTATGTCTCTCTTGTGAGTTAGGCCTACTGGAGAGTTGCAACCTGGGTGTATCTCTCTCCGGTGGCAAAGTTTAGATTTGGGCGGCATTGTCGACGCATGACGGCCCGGGATTGTCACGGACAAGGGCGAACATGGGGATGCCCGGAGTGTATTTTCAGAACTCACCCAGCCAGTCGACACACTTGACACATGTTTGCTTGCTGGCTCCCCGGTGAACATCCCAATCCACACTAAAATAGACTAAGTCGGGCGGTGCACCTGCCCGACAATGGTACCATTGGTTTTGACCCACAGCCAAATGGTTGCCCCAAAATTGTACACTCTGTTTTTCGCTGGTCGCTGGCCAAGCGAGTGGAAGCTTTCTGAAATAGACATGGGAAATGAGCTTTCCAGTGGTAGCTATCACGGCCGCGAGCCACTGAAGAAGATGACAGCAACGCTACAGATAAGAAAGCAGACATGGAGGCGACAGACAGCATCCCAAAGAAGAAACCACATGAAGGGGGCACACACACACATGCAGCAAGGCCAAGAAAACTGTTTGAGAGCCACAGATTGGTACCCATCAGTCATACCCAAAAGGCAAACCTTGTTTTTGGTGCATTTTGCTTGGATGTTAGGACTTGAACTTTTTGCCAACTAATGGGTTTTCCATTAAACCACCAAGAGTTAAACTTTTAGCAGGGGAGCAGAAAGCGACCGAGGTTTTGTTCCACCCCAGGAAACTCACCGAAGACAGCCCTGGGAGCCAACACCACTGAAAATTCCGCACCGGTCACCGGGCGTCCTACGTCACGCAACCCGGCACATGCTTCAGAGCGCACCAGTCCGCTGAGGAGACTGGTTGGCATATCTTCACCCACCTTAGGGATTTCGAGTTATGGCAACCCATTTTCCCTCTATACCTCCCCCTTATGGAAGGGGGCATGTTGTCAAGCGCGTCGCCATATAGGATGTCTTCACCCCTCCGATTTGAAGATTTGAGCCGTCGGCGGCTCTTAGAAAGCGGGGAATGGTCGCATTGGCATTCGCTACGTGGCTGGGCACGGGGGAGAAGCTGTGGAGACGGGTCGAAAAGGAGGAGCTTGCCGTGGCACGAGTGGACCGTGCTGGAAAGGCTGCAAAGCGGTCGTCGCCGAGTCGCCTGGTTGTTTTCTTCGCATAGCGGAAGCCAGCGTTCCCACTTCGAGTTACCGAAGGCAGGCAACCGGAAACCAAGGAACACCTCACAAATGTTCAACACGGAAAGTTCTGGTGACCAACTATCCTGCAACCAGAAGCTTCAGGGCGTGCTCATCTCCCCATTTCTCTAATAGTGCACTCAGGCTAACCAGAAGCCCCAATATCTCAGGTACTCCCAAGTTGGTGGTTTGGATTGGTGGTTTGGGGATTTGAACCCCTGCTTCCTGTAGAGGGTAGATGGGAAGCAATGCCTTTGAACCACCAACCAGATCCTGTGGTCCCCAGCTGGTTTTGGCCATGGGTTCCTGTAGCAACCAGCCCCAATCTCCTGCAACCAGCCCCAAGGCTTGCTCATTCCATGGGGTTGGTTCCTTGTCCATTCTTTTCAGCCATCGTTCTTTTCAAAAACCGATCGCCATTTCCCCAGGGTGTTTGGTATTTTTTTCGTGGTTTTCTAGAAAGAAGGGTCCCTGAAAAGAACGGACATGGCAGTTCCCCCCCAGATTGATAGTCTGCTTCCAACCGCATTGAAATTCTCTGCTTTCCCTCTCAAATTTGGGGGTTGTGGGAGGATCTTACCCCTAGAAAAGTTTTGAGCCATCCTCACTCAGGCTGGGGCATAGGCTTCGGCAGCTGGATCAGGCCACCCCTCGAGTTCTGCGCGGGCCTCGGGGCGTAAGCTTGGCATCCGGTTTCTGAGGTGTTTGGATCGCTGCTTGGCGTTTCGTCCTGAAAAAAAGACGTCCGAATTTCGCCCACCCACAACCGAATTTAGCCGCCTGCGGATCTGAAGAAAACGGACGGCCCAAACTGAGGGCTGTGAGTCTTCGCAGGAGCCGGCTCCAGCCGGCTTCGCATTCTCAGGCTCGTGGCGAGGCCCACGTGCGTGGCTCAGAGCAAGAGGTACGACTCACGAGGAACTGAGTTGCGGTTTGCTTTTTGGCTGCGGCTCAAAAAACCGGTACCAACATGGAACCTTGGTAAGTGGAAACTTGGACCAAAACCTGCGGTTTGCCCCTCCTGTTTAATTTTGAGCCACACCCTTTTCTTTGCGGTTTGCTTCCTTCGAAACCAAAACCCCCAGAACCTGATCCCTTGATCCCCGAGTCCTTTTTGTGATTGTTTCATTTGCGGATAGTCGTCTCACATGGCTCAAGGGAGCGGTTCTGTCAGGCCCCAGAAATCGGCGAAGACCAGCCGCTGCATTTGAGGTTTGCTTTCTGGAGCTCCTTTTTGCTTTCCTTCGAAAAGGTAAACCCCAGGAACTCCCCGAGTTCGGCGGGCGGTGCATTAGAAACAACGCACCCCCACTCGCTTCAGTTGCCTTTCGGACTTTGGACTTGTGGGAAAACACATTTCAGTGGTAGAAAGTTCGGACCCTTTTTGGCCCATCCAGTCAGGAGGTAGGTGAGTTTGGCGAGCTATGACGTTGTGTGTTTCAAGATGCTAGTATTGAAGGATCGAACGCAGCGCATGATTTCCTCCGACATGCGCGGAGTTGACTTGAGCCACAATCAAAACCTGGGTAGATGAAGGTTAGTAAGGGACGATCCCATCCATCCATATAGCTGTGGATATCCGCCTTGATAGTTTTTTACATGGTTCTGGGTCGACCATTTTTGTACCAGGTATTGATTGTGACTCACTTGGGGCATGGTGCCGATCCCCGCACTGCAGGGAAGATTACGCGGCGCCATTTCTCGAGGGACTGCAGCTCAGTGACAGCCGCGGTCGACATAATGCACAGGTAAGGCCAAACTACTCACTTGTTTAGTTCCTAGACTTTTGTCACTTTTGGGGGAGACATTGTTGTGGTAGACAAAAAGTTCGGACTTTTTGTTGTCAATCCACTCAAAACGTCAGGCTAGTTTGACGTTGCATTTTGGCTTCCTCTATGGGCCGAGTGCGAAGTGTATGCTTCAGAAAGTGGGCACGCGAGAGAGAGAGAGAGAGAGACAGAGCGATACGCCCGGCCTGCTTTTATGGTCGGCACGGGCAGTGCTTCAGATAGTGGGCAACAGAGAGAGGGAGAGAGAGAGAGAGAGAGAGAGAGAGAGAGCGAGAGAGTTACTCCCCACCTGCTCACTTTCACTTTTTCTCAGCCCTTAGGAATGAGCTACAAATGCCTGCAAGCATTGTGGGAGGTGCTGAACTTAGACCCTGAGGCTGATGCTTCTACGGGGGCAGCATGAGTTTGGCATGTCACTTGTCAGAGCTTGTGGTCGACCTACAGTACGGGCTTTGTGGCATTGTCTCATGAATTATCCCCCCCCAAAAAAAGAAAGAAAATAAAAGATAATGCAAAAGGAAATAATAATCATCATAATCAGAATAATCATACTAAACAGTGTTTCCACTGGTTGCCCATGGTTTCCCGGACCAACCCAAGTACAAGCAAACAGATTCACGAGAGGATTGGAGAGGCTTCGACCGGAACTGGCGTCAAGGTTCGGCCGGTGGATTTGGTAGATGCTGCAGCTGCGGTCACGAGCTCAGCTTGGACACACAAGTGCCAGCTCGCAGGATGAATCGAGAGGGTTGCATGAGCTGAGCACATTTGGATGTGGCTCAAGATTCAACAGCTGGGGCAAACCGCAGGTTTTTTTTCCATGTTTCCACTTACCAGGGTTCCCATTTGGGTCCCGGTTTTTGGAGCCACAGCCATTTGTCCAATTGGACAGCTGCATGCAATTTATTAACTATTGAGGGCGTGTTGCAGTGAGCGTTGGAATATGCAATCCTCTTGCCCTTTGGTTGCCTGTGGTGGGTGGAGGCGGCTTTGCTTTGCTCAGCTGCACGCACTTGTTCAAGCAAGACAAGGGATGAGCACAGCTTGACGCTGAAGCTATTGCTGACGTATCGATCAAGTCCGTATACCACATCTTGGTGGTTCCCAGCCATCCTGTTTCGTGGTTGGATTTCCGAGTTTCACCTGTGGCAACCTTGTCGCCCATCAGCCCAGGACAAGACACGCAGGAAGCCCTGCCGCCCAGCTAGTGTCTGGCATGCAGTTTGAACCCGTGCACGCAAATGTGTGTTTCTGTGGTTTGATCGAGGATGCCATGACTTAAATGGAAGCCGCAGGAACCACTTGGTTCTCCAAAATAAGGCATGTGCCCAAATATGATAATCCAACATCATTGGATGGGCTGGCGTTGGGCCAGTTTTGCCTGAGTCACCTTGCAGGCGGCACAGGTACGTTTTCACCAAGCTCCGTGTATTTGAGGCCGATTTCGATGGGTGTGGGGCAAGCAGCGCCCATTGCCAGATGTTCAAAAACCCAGGCCATGGAGCCCATGGTCTTGTTTTTTTTTTTCCTGAATTCTTGCACCATAAAGCACAAGACAATATGGGCATTGCGGCATGCAGGTTTAGAATGCCCCCGGCAGGTTGTGCAGGAGTCATCCCAATGTTCCAGTATGGCCCTTCGGCCCTCATTGCTCGTTCCAGATGGATGTGGGTCAGAAATAGGTACCCAAAGTGGAACCCTGGTTTAATTTTGACCCAAAACCATATTGCATTCCCAGAAAAAAAGCAACGGCCAACCTTTGAGAGTCCAAAGATTCCCCTCAACTCATGAAATTTGAGAGGGAAAGCAGTCAATTTCAATGCGGTTGGAAGCAGACTATCAATCTAGGGGTAACTTGGAAAAAATGCCTGCGGTGCAAATGAAGCCGCTGTGACAGGGTTTGCCTTTGCCCAGAAGTCCCACACACAAGCCGTGCGGTTGGTACCAGAAGGCTCTTTGCAGTAGGTGCCTTACAAGCACATCATGTTTTTCGACCTGGACGTCGTGGTGCTTGGCTTAATGTTTAGTTTCTGCGAGAGAGAGGGAGAGAGACGAGCGCTTGGATGCAATGTTGTGTGCAAAGCGTATTTCAGATTTGGAAGCTTGCATGGCATGCCACTTGTCCAGTTTGGGGCGGACTGATGTTTCACTCTGCGCTCGTGCATGTCGCCAGAAAGTTCGTTATCGACTCTGTGCTGAAAGCGCCCCCTTCTCCGAACCACATATCTAGTGCTGCTTTGTTTGAATCCGTTTTGGCAGAGGGTACTTGCTTGAGCCGATTGCGTCCTCGATAGCATAGACGAAGGGCGCGCGGATGTGCTGCAAACACTAGGGTTCCTTTCCCCCATTAAAAGAATGGCAAAGACCCAATTCAGATGATGACACTTCTTAGGCAGGCAATGTTGGTTAGATGAAGCCCAATTGTTTTCATGGTGGCTTGAAGGATGATCCCAAATGACCGTGGGGGTTCATCAATATTCCCTAAAAGGGCCAAACGACCGTGGATAAGTTTCCAAGTTTGGTTGGACATATCATGTTTTGAATGGTTTCCCCCAACGGTCATCCCATGTGAAGGACCTTTTGATCAACCCCCAAATGAGCATGACATAGCCTGACTCTTCGGTTGCGTCTAAGCCTAGGTGCGGCGCGACCCGTCAGAGCTGTTCAAGGCAGCCATGGCATTTGGAGATGTCAAAAAAGCGGGATTCGAATCATGTGGTTTCCTTTTGGTGTCCCAAGGTGAACAAGTGCGTTAGCTAAACACACACTTTGATTTCTTGCTTGCCAGGGCGTAGCTCGTTTTAGCGTGACAGGGGCTTAGGGAGAGCACTTTTCCCAAAGGATCCTAGGAGTGATCACTGGGGGCAGCCTCTCGTGCGCCCGCCTTTGATCCCATCCTCCCCCACCAGAAGTCTTACATGTTGTTGTCTTTTTGCCCCGCGGCCTACCATGTGTTGGTTTCTTCTAGTTGCCATGTTCTTGCCTCGTCTTCTTATGCCATGGTTTGTCTCATCTAGTCGCGTGAGCGTCGCACCTCGGGCAGCAAGGCTCCGGGAAGCGCGCGGGGATCACCGCCCAGATGCCGCCTATACCAAAGGACCCCATTTTAACCCTTTTCTATGCCGCAAAACGTTGGCTTCAGAATATGTGCTTTATTTGGCAATACCCTCCCACCAAGTAACTCGGAGCCTGAAGGGTCCCTTTAAAAGGACAATGATCGAAACCAGGACCCCCCGAAGGTGAGGCTCCTTGCTATTTGGTGGGTGGGTACTTGGTTTTTGTGCAGGGAACTCAAGCAAATGGTCAGGTAACCCTAAGCCTTAGTTGGCGAGCAGGATTTGAGCGGTTCCCTGGTTCTAGAATGACCACCAAACCACCGATTCGGCTCCAACGTTTCGGAATCGATTCGGCGAGCCACCATGGGGGACGGCTGAAATCGTCAGGCCGCCGTTAAAACTGGCAGGGTGTTGGCCAATGGAACTCCTCGAGCTCGCTGACTACACCACCGACCCCTTCCCAAAAAAAACATCCCTCTCCCCCCCCGTCCAAAAAACAAAAGGGACAAGTGTTTTATTTTGTTTTGGAAAAGATGAAATGGTAGACTTCTCCCATGTGTCTGTGTTATTAAATGGTGTTCCTAAATGCCTGAGAAGAGTGCATTTTACAGAAAAGCGCCACACACAGTTCCCCGTCTTAAGCAATCTGAGTTCAGCTTCCCCCTACTTGGTGGTTTGGACCGGTGCTTTGGTGGTTTTCTGGAGGGGTTTCTCAGTTATGCTCTGCAAGAGTGAGGGTCCGGTTCAAATCCAGATCTGCAAATCCAAACAAAATTCAGATCCGGTTTCCTGATCTTTCCTCAGGTGTTGGTCTCGGGTCCAAAAAGGGGTTGCCTGATATCTTCGTCTCCCAACTCCAAGGGTTCAACAACCGGGTTTCTGACCCAAACCAATTCGAGGGCAGCGACCTGGTCTCAGGTCCAAACCAATTCAAATCCCAGAGCCCACTTACCTGAGTTGGTCTCAGGTCCAAAACCGGGTTCCTCATCTTGACCCAAACCAATTCGAGGCAAGCGGATTTCGGATGTGTTACCTGAGTTTTTTGGGCCTAAAGTCCAAAAAACCGGGTTCCTTGTTACCGTGTTTGGCCCAGACCGTCCAAAACCCAATTCGAGGAGTTCTGGGCCAGGTCTCTGCGCCGGCGGGCATGTACCACGGTCGCTGGCGGGCCGCCTAGCTGGCCAGCGACGCCATGGATTGATGTGTCTTAAAGCCAGGGAACCCCGAAAATGCTGGGTTTCCTTTGGGTTGTTTCACGAAAAAAGCAAAAAAACGAAAAAATGAAAAAAAGGGGGAAAAACGCAAGTGTTTGGTTTTTCACAAAACAAAGCGCAAAACAAGGGGTCAAAGAAAGACACCCAAAGATTCGTCAAGATTGCATGATAGCCGATGATAGCTAAGCATGCAAGGCAACCCCAATGATTTGGGGCCCGACGGGCCGACAGCGTTTTCGCTTGACGAGTCTCGTTGGGTCTGTGAATTCTTTGAGGCAACCCGCCCCAAATTTGCCACAAGATGGGATCCAACCCGTTTTGCTGAGGCGCTACCAGGGCCTTATGTGGAGGGAACCAGGCATGGTTGTTGTTAAACATTTTACATTTTTGCTTATTGTGGTTTAGTGGGAGATCCCCACTGAACTGCTAAAATTAATTTGTTTGCTCCTCTTCCAACGTTAACCAAGCAGGGGGGAGGGGGTAGATCCTGTGAAAACTGATGGCCCAGGGACCGCAGTGAGTTCGCCAGCCACGGTGGACTTCTTCCACAGGAGGCCGGGCGCTTGAAGTGAAGAGGCCTCTGGATCTCAAGGGATGCGTCACATGGACAAGCATCATCTCCAAATCCATGGTAGCCATGAATAAAATAAATTCAGGTTCAAGTTGTTGCAGGAAAACAAGACTTGCTCAGTCAGATATGTGCGCAGCCGATACATAAACCGATGCCCAACCAATAGCCATCTCAAGAGCCTCATGAGCCGTCATGCAGCCAGGTGCCTTGGAGCTGCCAAAATGCACTACCCTTGTACTGAGAAAGTTGCATCTTTCGGACCGGAGGTGCCAAAATGGTCTTCTTGGTCTTCTACACTTGTACTGGGAAGGGCTTTTGAGCCGGAGCTGCCAAAGTGCTGGAATCCGATGGGAGAAAACAATAAAAAGCGATACCGGGGTAAAAGGTTGCAAGGGTTGTCCACGGTTGTTTTGTAAATCAGCCCGAGGGTGTGTCAAAATTGGGGGACCTCATCAATCCAGGTTCCCTGTTGCTCCCCCGTAAAAAGAAAGCCAACCTAACAAGGGAACCCAACCCAGGTCGTTTGCCGGCTTCTCGGAGCCATTTGAAGATGCTTTTGTGCCGTAACTTTTTTGCTTGGCACCTGGGGCAACTTGGGTTTGTGGTAAAACTAGGGAACGCCGAAGATGGCTGTTCTCCCGTTGGCTTCTCATATTTGCTTGTGCAACTATTCTAAGTTGAGTGTGTTCACCGCGCACCGCCTATTGGAATGGAATTCGTGTAGAGGTTAAATAATGGATTGGTAAAGATGGAAAAAGTACCAGAAATAAGTGTCAGAGGTAATCAAAATATGAATTTGAAAAGCGAAATGAATGAAGAGATATACCTCTTCTTCCGTCACTTGGTGTCCTATGTCATTTTCAGCCTCAGAAAATAGCTTCTGGCAACCGAGGGAATAGGCATAACAATAAGTACAAAATGTTTATTATTTGAGATCTAATTCGAATGTATGATATGACTTTTGCATCCAATAATATGAAGACTAACAAATGTGTATATTTCTGGCCGTTATTGTTTGCTTACAACCTTCCTCATCTCAAGTCACGTCCTGTTCCACAAGGAACAGACACATAAATATAGTTAACTCGTTTTTTTATATAAAAACTTCTGTCTATCTTCAGTAGTTTCTATTAGTGCGATTTCTAGATAAGGGTGCACGCATATACGACATGACCCTTCGCCTCAGCAACGGAAAAAGGCAGCATGGTGGTGCCACTGAAGTCTCGTTGCGCACGTTAGTTTGTTTCCTGTCATGGTTCATTGCAACATCGGAGCATCGGCCGTCAGCGGGCCAGCTTTGTCTCATTCAGACAGATTAGATATTGCCCCTCTAGTTGACAATGTGTTGCGTGTGTGTTCCTTGAATTAGTTCCAAAAATGTCGCGCAAGTTCCATTGCAAAGCCCATTTCGGAGCACCTCATGCCTGGAGGCACTTGAAGTCGCTCGAAGAGCATTCAACATCGCATTTGAGTTGAGGCATTCGAGAAAGACGACTGCGTTCGCGGCTGCGTGAACGCCGGTCTTCTTCGCCGCTTAGACCATGTCTTTTGGAACGTATGTGCCACGGATTCGCCGTGTGGCGGCTACAGAAGGGTTTCTGTCAGAATATGGGACTCCCTGGGTCGGTTTCTTTTTGGTGTCCAAACCGTCGCAAAAGAGGGTACCGTAAGACAACAACCTCCGATAGGTTCAGCAGTGGTTCAATGCTTGCGCATTGACTGTGTGCGTGTGTGTTTCGAGGGTACCCCTTTCGAGGTCACAGCACACACACACATCCAACTTGCCAGTTGTTCCAACCATGTCCAGAAACCTCTTGGTACTGTTCAAAAAGCTTGGGACCCAGGTGCTGGTTGGGAAGCCCTCCTTTCTTTCTGCTGCAACTCTGAAGGTCTCGACCCTCCAGTCACCAGCGTGGAGCGAAGGCGGGCTCCAGAACTCAGACTTTCACAACAGGGAGACCACCAAAATGCGGGTTCTCCTTTTGGTGTCACTTTAATCTCAGCAAAAAAAGAGTACCCTCAACAAAACACACCCAAATGTAGGTTGATCACAAAGATATTATAGGCATGAATCCTCATTTGGTCGCATCACTCAGCGAATTTCAGAGGCCTGCCTGCAAAGATAGACGCCCGAGAATTACCTACCTGGAGAGCAAATTGTCAATGTGCCTCGAGGGCTCATCATGGCTCATCTAGCGTCAACAATAAAAACAGGCCGCCATTCTGGAATTGAGGGCCCCCCTGTTCCCCACCTCCCCCTCCTAAGAAAGGGTGGATGTGTTTTGCCAGGTTCTTTGCTTCCGGCCTTTGCCGACGCACTCGCCAATCCTTTGTTCTGTCCCATGGTTCTAGGGGTTGATTCCAACCATTCTTTGCCTTTCCAAGAGGCTGGTTGGCGGATTTTTCCCGGAAAAAAATGTTTGGGATCCCTGGAAATGGTTGGAAGCTAGCCCTACTTCCTTCTCGAGGGAGCTGCTCGACGAGATGCTGCGGGAGGCGCGTCGCGGAAAAGGGAGGAAGCGTCCGTTTCTCAGATGCCTAGATTTCCATGGGGAAAAAAGGATCGGCATCCTTTTTTTGGTGGTTGAGTTTAAGGGGGGAACTTGAGGACTCACTTGTTTTTCGCACTTCGCGCGCTTTGTACTAACCCTTCATGAAAAATTGGGGCAGCAAGCAGCGCACACAGCGCATGTCGTGCAAAAGGATCCCAGGCACAGTTGGCCGCGCTGTTGCCGTAGAGGTCAGAGTGGAAGCTGCAGGTAGCTCAATTGAGCACATGAAAGCCATTGAACGTGGCACAATGTTGAGGAAGAACATCCTACTGCATTGTTTTGATGGTCTTTGGGTTGCTGCTGGCTCACTTTGAAGGGTTCATATTTTGCAGATACGAAATGCTGCGAGTTGGACGTTTCGGGACCAAATCAGGTCCTGTCCACTGTCAGGGTTCCTGGAGGACAATGTTCCTTCTTGAAAATGGCCCTCTGGTGGGTTCCATGTTAGTGGACAGGAAGGTAACCAGTGCGCTTGTTGAAAGAAGGCGCCTCACAGCTTGCACCTGTTTTTTTCAGACTCAGCTGCTCTAAAGGGGGGGATGCCAAGAATTGTGCTTTCCTTTTGTTTTCCCCTTGGAACCAACCTGAAAGGGGCATCTTCAACAAAATGCAGGCCCACTTGAAGCAGCAGGGCAGTTCATGTTCCACTGAAGTCGCAGTGCCAGCGCAGCCTTGGCTACATCCGGCACTTCTGCTTCAGCTTCCGAAAGGGAAAACACAAGAGAGAATCCCCATGGCTCAGCACGCAACTCGAAGTGCCGTGTCACGCTGAAACCGCCCAAGTTCGGTCCCGGGTCCCGGCGGGTCCCGGCAACTTTGTTCTCCATGGCGCGCATGCGCCGTAGGCGCGCAAGTTGCGCAAAGCTGGGTGCGGCTCAAAGGTTGGGAGCTAGGGCTGGGCAAGTTTTAGTCTTTCGATTTGGGTATGGCTCAAATTAAAGAGCTGGGGCAAACCGCGGGTTCTAGTCTTTGGTTCCATTTACCAAAGTGCCATTTTGGTACCACTTTTTCTTTGAGCCACAGCCATTTACGAAGGCGCCATTTGGCGCAACATTTTTGGAGCCACAGCCAGCCGGAATGAGGCACGATCAGTGGCACAATGGTAGGCATCGATTCTTCGCATGGATCCAAATGCTTGCAAGCTTAATCCCCCAGTAGTGCCCTTTCTCACCCTTTTTTGTGGAGGGTTCCCCCTACTAAAATAGACTACAGAAAAAGAATCGGGTACCCTTATTCTATCCTCTCTACTGGAGGACCTAGTTAATGCGAGCCACAGTCGAAGCGGCATTTTGATCAGGTGGCTCCTGCTGCCGCTGCTTGCTCTTGGTTTGGTGCAACCTTGTTTCCTGCGACGAGGAGCGGACGCCGGGCGGACTGAGCATAGTTCGACTAGTGATGCAAGAGCAAGCCAGTCTCGCATTCCGTCAGC